TTGTTCACTCACTTTCACAAGTTCCTTCGGTTTTTTCGCTTGTTCGCCATTGCCATTTTCGCTCACTTTCCCTTTCGGCTGCGAAGGAAGATCTGCCTGAGGCGACAGAAGAAGAGAGTAAGCAAACAGTCATAGCTAACTTACCTTCTTCGGTTGCACGTCCTTCGTAGAGCTAGCTCCAAGAAGGTCAATCACTTCAGAAACACGTTTGCAAACCCCACCCACGGTTCGGGCTACCTGCTGTTTCCTGCTATTGGTTAACTGCTTTTTTTCCTCTAAACGCCGAACGTTAGTACGATTTTGTGATGTAAACGAGACCTACTAGGTGTAAGCTGCTGATTCACTATGCGATGCTTTCGCTGTCGTAACTTCTCTTGCACGTCAGAGCTAAAGCCCCAAGTCGATAAAGGTATCAAATCGCATACCCTCCTCATCTATATCAAAACATAGCAAACATACTGACTTTGTGCTGTGAGCATAAACAAGACAAACCTTGGTCTCAATGGAGGCGATCCTCGTCAATAACTGGACATCAACCAGTGCTTCTCCCTCTGCTACCGCAGACATTTCTGATACAAACACCTCAACTTTAGCATAAATGATTAAGAGCGTACGATACCTAACCAATGGCTGTACCAGACGCCGGTACAGAAATCGAACGAAAAGATCTTTATAACAAATTACATTATGATATAACGCAAAAAATGTTACACGTACTCTTGTACTACAACTAAGATCAGCAAATGTATACATGGCATAAACTGGATGAACTGAAAACAAAAACACTCAAAGCGCATTGAAGTCAGCACTTCAGTAATGAGCAAAGGACAAAACAACGACTCACGACTAGTTCCTTTGCCTATCTAATTCTACCGTAACCAGATCTCAGCAGCTGCACAGGAAGTGAGACGGCACAAATCAGGGCAGATATCCTCAAAAAGATGCTCGAAGCACCCCCCGCAGCTCGCTATATTGCCTAAGTGTCTTCCAAACTCTTCAACAGGAGTTATCTCCATCGCTGTGAGTTCGGAAATTACAACCTATCTAAACCTACAAATGACAAGTACAGAAATTGCACAACTAAAGGAAAAAACGGCCATGAGGGACTCATATATTAAGAGATCAGCTAATCCCACACAAAGAGGAAATAAAATTAAAACTGAAAGCACAAGTAGATATAAAACAAACGCCACTGTGAGAAGTCAAATCTGTCAGCACATGAATTCAAATCCGATTAACGAATGAATGACTAAAAACTCATACGATACTAAAAGTACACCTGAAGTAGTTGCAAACTAGGCGGGAATCAGCTCGGTGCCAAGTCGAGTACGAACAGCTTCTGTGCGAGTCTCTAGTATAATCCACACATCTTCAGCAAGTGCATCTACGGTTGTGTAACGTACTCGCTTCGGATTGAATATATCCACCACAAACTGAGTAATCTGTTCCTACAACCAAGTACTA